TGCCCTCGGGTGTGTGCCTCTCCTGTGAGGGTGTCGCCATGCCTGTGGTTGAACTGGGGGCTTGATTGTAGTGGGTCAGTGCTGGGGGCTCTCACCCCGAGAGCTGGTTGCCCCCTTTAGCTATGGGCACATGGCAGACAGATCTGTACCTGCCGTGGGTTCATGGAGGAGATGAAGCGGTTTGGTAGCGATGTGTGGGGGTTTTTATCAGTGTTGCCATGATGCGATGTGGTTCCTACAGCAGTTTGGAAGCCCTCTGATAGCAAATGTTTTCCTTTGAATGCAAAGCATCTCTTATTGTGTTGCTGATTTGCCTTCCTGATGTCTTTCCTCATTTCCCTAGATGAAGGAAGACCGCTTTCGGAAGCTGTTCGCCGCCTTTGGCACACTGACCGATTGTTGCTTGAAGTTCACCAAGGATGGTAAGTTCCGGAAATTTGGCTTCATTGGCTACAAGTCTGAAGAGGAAGCCCAAACGGCGCTGAACCGTTTCAACAGGAGTTTCATAGACACTTCCAGAATCACAGTGAGTTGATCTTTAAAAATATTTTCTTTTGAGCCTCAAGCAAGTTTGTCATTGGAGATTTTGGTAGTGTTAGGGGTGAGCAGCCACGGACCAAGAAGGCCTAAAGATTAATTCCTCTGCAACAAAACAGCAAAACTTGATGCCTGGCCTCATTGCTGGAGTCTCAGGCAGGTCCTCGACACAGATAGACTGTCGTCGTGCCCCACGTGTGATTTTAGTGCTGGCTGGAACAACAGTGTCAGGTTCTGAGCTGTCATAATCTGAACTTTTGAACTTGAGCTCGTTTTTCATTTGAAGTTATTCATCTTGCGATACTAGACAGAGGATGATTCATGATGAACAGGACAACTTATCGTACTGTGCTTAAATGACCCCAACAAACTGTTCCCTGTGTTGAGTGAACATGTAGGTCTGTGTTTCTAAAATGAACATCTGTGTGAAGTTTCCTGTTCTTCTGCGTACATGCCCTCCATCCCATCATAAGAAACGTTCCTGAATGTGGCTCTTCCAGCAGTTATAGAATCAGACTGTTTAATATATATTTAATTAAAGATCTGATTGATTCTTTTCAGGTTGAATTATGCAAGTCTTTTGGTGACCCTTCAAAACCCAAAGCATGGAGTAAGCACTCTCAGAAGGCCCCTCCCTCAGAAAAACAGACTGAGAAATCTGTGGCAAGTGCCGCTCCTGCAGGCACAAAGAAAGTGAGTCTTGCTTGTTTCCGTGATGCTCTGATGTTTGTCGGTGACTTGCCAGAGAGAAGGGCCGCCTGGTGTGTGGAGAAGGAGAGAGAGCAGCTGGAACAGTGGATGTTGGAGTCCTGGTTGTGCCATTTTCCCTGTACCATTAGATTACTTGAGAAATTGTCTTGGCTGTGCTTCTAATAAGCCTTTCTAAAAATGGTTTCTTTTCCCAGGAGAAAAAGAAGAAAGAGCCAACAGAAAAGTTAAAGGAGGTGAGTTGAGGTTGAGTTGTGATCCCTACGTTGTTGCTAGCTTGTGTTAAGAGCGAGGGCTGAATAACTCTTCTGTACGAACTTCCTATTACTTGCTGTTAATTCAAGGAAGGTGTATGATTTCACCAGCTCTGTGACAGTCCAGTTCTGTTGTGGGAAACCATGATTTTAACAATTCTAACATTGGGAACCAGTTTTTTGTCAGCTATTCCTATGTGAGCTCTGCGTCCAGGACAACCCTGTTTCAACAATTCTTGTTTTGAACCATATGTGAGTTTTCTCACGCTTAACTTGTACATTTTTTTTCTCTTTTTAATGTTCTGTTTTCTTCTTTAAAGTGCTTTCTAAACACTAGTTACAGAAGAGAAAGAGTAGGACTGAGAGATCTTGAGAAGACTAGTCACTTTGGGTGCTCAGCTTGTGAGTGTGAAGTGGATTTCCTTCTTTGGGATTCTTTTTACATGGCTGGAAGTGAGATGATGTCTTAGAATTAGAAATTATTATGCTCTCCTGTGTCTGTCTTCACAGTTTGTCTCCTTGGTTTCTTTTTCAACAGCTGGAAGAAGATAAGACATTCCAGGAGTTCTTGGTGGTTCACCAGAAACGGTCTCAGGTAGCCACTTGGGCTAATGACACTTTGTCAGAGGAGCCCAAGAAGGGAAAATCAAAGCCAGCGGCTGATTATCTCAACTTTGATTCAGATGAGTCTGAGGACCTGAGTGAAGAGGATGGTGGGAATGAACCTTCTGAAGATGAGGAGGAAACTAAAGGTAACGAAAGGAACTGTCACCCTTTTCTTGTCCTTGTCTCACTGAGTGTCAGAGCAGGTGTGCTGATGGGACCCATCTCCCAATGGAGGCAGTGTAATCAGGAAGGTGGTTTCTCAAGCATGAGACTCATTCTGTGCACTGTGGACATCTGGACATATTCCCAAATTTGGGGAAATGTGGGGAATGCAGCTTCTGGTACTAAGGGGATGGCATTTGTGCTTTCTGTGGGTCTTTAAGTCAGTATCTAGGAAAGAGTAACAGGGCAGATATCTGCATCTCCCTTAAATGCTCTCCTAGCCAGCAGCTGCTTTCATCTCCAGGATTTCCAGAGCTGGCTGTGGTTTCTGTTTATTTAGTAACCTGGAGCTGATGGCTGCTCTGCCTTTGTGTATTTCTGGAAATGCTGGTGTGTCCTTGGGCCCTGTCAGAGTTGATGGGAATGGGAGTTCAGTCTCTTGGATCCTAAAAGGAAGAGTAGCTAGTGGAGCAGTAGAATAACTTAGAATTCTGAGAAATCTGGGCTGCAGTCTGGTGTATGTCATCTTAGTCTCCAGTGTCCCCGCACCAGTGGTGAATGTGGTTTTGGAGCTCGTCTCCCTCCTCGTATGGTGTTTCCTTATGATGTTATTTCGGAGTGAATAGCATCTCCCTCATTTCCCTGCTGCTTCTCACCTCTCTTCGGATAACTAAAATGATCAGTTGATCTTTGGTGGGGAGGAGCGTTTTGGAGAAACAGCTTCCTCTGTCCTTTGCCCTGCAAAACTAAACCTAACAATTGAAAACCTTCTCTGGGGTCTGTCTGAACTATTTAGTTAAAATTGAGACAAAGTACTCTGCCATGGAGTTCCTCAACCTCCTTTCTAATTTGTTTTATACATGGACTGTTGCTTTGAAAAATAGTCATCCAGATACGTCAGTCAGGAATTGCTGAGATAAAATTGCTCTGCTATTGTTAAACCTTTCCTCCCTGTGAAAAGGGTAGAGGAGACAAAGGTGATTCTTGTGATTATGTCTGTTCTCAGCTTTTACCCGTCTGGGGAGAGAGCAGCAGCATCTGTGTACAAAACTTCTCTGGTCTCTTCTCTCTGACAGCAAAGAAAGGAGAGAAGAAGGCAGCTACCAGCAAAGACCTCTCGGATATGGATTACCTGAAATCTAAAGTGGTAAAGGATTCCTCCTCCTCATCCAGTACAGAGGAGGAAACAGACAGTGAGGAAGTGGAAGAGGAAAGTGGGAGTGAGGAGGATTCGGGTATTGCAGAAGCTGTCAGCACCCCCACAGATAAAAGGGGGAAGCCAAAAGCCCAACAAAACCAGCAAGAGACACCAGCAGAGAAGAAGAAAAAAGGATCCACACTAGAGGTATAGTTGAATTAGCGTTTTGTCTTCTCTAAAGCAGGAGCTTTATGGGGTGGTATGTCTGTCAGTCACTTCAGGGTTGAGCTGGAAGTTTGAAGTCTGTGGGACCCTGAGGTTCCAGCTTTCTTGGCTCACTGGGCGGGAGCTGTTAAAAAGTTTTGCTGGATCTCCCCTTAGTGTTGGTTGAATTCCTCCCTGTCTCCTCCAAGACAGTGCTTCCAAACAAGTATTGTTCGTGCCCTTTTCAGACACTTTTCTGGTTTTCCTGTGTCCATCTGGAAACCCTGTTCTGCAGAACTGTTTTTAGAGACTGGGTTTGACTCTCCCAGCCAAACCTTGGACAGTCATCTGGCACCTCCTGCCCAGGCTGATGCAGTTGCAAGAATCTCTTGATATTCTCTCCCACTCTTCAGTCTCCTGCTTGTTGGACAAGACCAGCTTGTTGTGCTGTGACTCTTGCTGTTTTTCACTCAGCTTCTTTTCTTCTTCCCCTCCCCCCATCCTTCTGTCCAGAACCAAGGCAGCTCAGCGGAAGCCAGCACACCGTACACGGTGAAACTTCATGGTGCCCCCTCGAACATCACTGAGGTGAGCTTTGTTACCAAGCTGGGAATGGAGGCTCAAGGGTGTTTTCAGCGTGTAACTCGGTGCGATCTTTGCAGAGGCTTCTGTCTTCACTTACAGAGCTGTTTGGAGGTTTGCGTGGGTGGTCAGGGAAACTTTTGAACTGGCTTTGTGCAGAAATGATGTATGTTGGACATAGTGTTTTTACAGTGTATATAAAAAAAATCCCTAAGCTTGAAACCTTCTGCTTCTTGTATCTGAGAACTTATTTAAACAATCACAATTCTTCCTGCAGCAAAAGATTCGTGAATTCTTCTTGCCTCTGAAGCCAGTGGCAATCCGGATAGGAAAAAGCACCCAGGGGAAAAATACAGGTAATGTGCAGGTGTGGAAGTGGGGCTGGATCTGTGAGTTAGAGGATCTCTCAGTCACACCTCTGCTCTTTTCATCTGCAGTTCCAAATCGCTGGCTTGTGTCCCAATCCTTACAGACCTTTCTGTGACTTTGCAGCTCACCTGCCCTAGTTGCTGTCAATAGGATGCCGTGGGCAATGTTGGATGTGCTCCCTTAGGAACACCGGCAGGAGCATTTTCTTTGACCTGCCTCTAGAACTTTCCTAAACATCCCAAACCGTGCCAAAGAAAGGTTTCTTCCTCTGGGATAGCTGCACCCAGGGACTCTGCTGACCTGTGCACATCGGCTGCAGAGCAGTCTTTAGCTGAGGTGGGTCTCCTGATGGGCTGCTGAAGGT